CCCACCCCACCCCGGCCCCTCAATGCCCGATCTCGTCCGGACGGCCGCGCGAGTACTTTGATCGTCCACAAAGTACACGTCCGTTTTTCTCAGATTCATACACGGCGCATTACGGGAGCTCGGCGCCTGCGAGACTCAAGGTAGACCATCCCGCAGTACACGCATGCACTGCAGGCATGATGTCGCGCGGCGCTCTGGAGCGCCCCAGGGCGCGCTACAGGGGTTGTTGCTCTTGAGCAACAAAAGACGATACAGGCACTGCAAAAGTAAGTTGTCAAAGTTTCACCTCCGTCCCACGCGCAGGACACTGTATCTCCCTTGATTACCCCCCCCCCCCCCACTACTCGTCCGGACGGCCGCGAGTGCTCAGTACTTGCACGAGAGGGAGGTCGCTGCTGGACGGATACTTCTTGTCTCATCGTATTTTGTTTTCATTTCATTTCGTTTTGCATCAGTCTTTCTCGGCGGTCTTCGTTCGGCATCGGTCAGCTGTGCTCGGACGGCTCGGACTCGAGCTGCACTGTCGGCGAGGCAGGTCGTTGACCTCGTTTCGTCTGGCTCGGTGCTCGGCGGGCTCGGCGGGCTCGGCTTCTCCCGGCGAGCGCGAGGGAGCCGAGGGCGTTTGTTGAACCGTAGAGACCGAGACCGTTTCCCGCGCATTCATCCATTTGTGTCTTCAGTTGTGCTTCGATTCGGCAAGTTAGAATTAATTATTATTTTATTATGAATAGAAGACTATGTTTATCAAAGGTACGTTTTATCATGCAATCGTCAAGTAAATCCGTAAATTCATGTGATGAACTCAGCTATGTAATTGTGGCGGTTTGGAGTCTCTGGTGCCTCTGCTAGTTAGTTGTCTGTGCGTTGTTTATGTATACATTCGATTTCCTGTTGATAATGACAGATAATATTAGATTGAGTGTTAAAGACTGCCCTTGAAGGCGAAATGACTTTGTCTTTTCTCTTAGAATGGAACCTAACCTCACATTATAATTTTTTTTGCGCTAAACCGAAACTGAGTCCGCTGTATTTGGTGTGAGACTGTGAACACTATCTAAAGCAAACACCCCTGACTGACTCCTCTTCATATTTTGCAGGTGATAGACCCCTTCGAGGAATATGCCTCCACAGGTTTTATGGGAATGTGAATGTTGTAGATAGTGATGATTCATCGATCTCAGTGGATGACATTATGGAGGACCTTATTATACCTGAGACTAGTCATAGCAGCATCAGCAGTGATGTTTCAACCTCTCAAACTGCTCAATGCAATATTCCTGCTGCCTCTATTCAAATGATTCCTCAGGTGAGTACGATTTATTCTTTTCAACCAAGACATACTTGTTACATGTCACTTCTACCAAATTGTATGTCATTTATCAGCTTGTGCTCTTATGGTGGATTTAGTCTTGGGAGGCAAGGCCCCTTTCTCTGCCCTCAACTCAGCGGGCATCGTCTCAAAGATTTTGAGGACTATGATCGACTATTCAGGCTTGGCGTGCCAATCACAGTCCTAGAAATCTTTGAGGCAGCTGAGCGGTGAGGACAAAAATAGGAGCCTCGCCTCACTAGACTGAATACACCATAATACTATTTTCTCATTGCGGTCTTCTGTTTGTAGTCATGTGCTGATGATGATGGCAATATCCAGCAAAGGTGCTCTGGCCTCAAGACCGATTCAGATTCCGATTCAGATTCTGACCTCCCACTCGCTTCTCTTCAAAATAGACCTCAGGTGAGCAATTTGAACCTGATTTTTAAATTAGTAAAATGGGTGTGGTACTTCCTGGTTCTTCTATGCTTTACTGTCCCAATTCTCACAAAATTTGAAGCAGGTTTTGTTTTTGTTTTAATTTTCAGGTATGCTCTTCAAATGTAGAGCAAAGTTCAAAGAGGCCTGCTGCTGCTGCTCTAATCCCTGCAGTACCTACAAAGAAACAAAAGTGTGAGTTATCAACTAAGAAGACTGCGTCCAAGCCAAATAAGAACAGAGTCCTATCCAAAGCCTCACATAGCAGAGAGAAAAGTAAACTAACACTCAACCCTCCAAAAAAGAAGAAAAATGCAAAATCTGGTATGATACAGTAAAAAATAGAGCACTACTCCTATGTTTTAGATTTTTTGTCTAAATTTTCAATTTTTTCCTTTTTCTTCTCGTGCAGAGAGGGATTTAGATGATGAACCATTGAGCAGTTTGCTAAAACAAGTGAATTCTGAGTCTAACAAGCCCAAGAAGGGAAAAAAGTTAAAGTCTGTAATTGAATCCAAGGCCCCGCCAAGCCAAAAGAGAACGGATTCAACCACCCCTGCAGCCAACCCTCAGAAAAAAAAGAAGATAAATAAAACACCTGGTATGATGCAGTAAATAATAGAACCTTTTTTTCCATGTTTTATGTATTTTGCCTTTGTATTTACTTTTTTCTCTCTTTACTTTAGCTGCCTGTACAGAGACAAATATTAAAGATGGACCGTCATGCACTTTGGGTAAACCAGTAAATTCTAAGAGTAAGCCAAACAATTCAAAGACGGAAGTACCATCTAAGGTCCTGCCAAACAAAAAGGAGAAAGCTGTAACAACTCCCGCACCCATCCCTCAGAAAGAGAAGCAAATAATTAGTACTCCTGGTATGATTCAGTAAACCATTGGTCACTATTCCATTTTCATATTTGTGTCTTTCTGTATTTATTTATTTTTCCTTTCTTTACTTTAGCTACCTGTACAGAGACACATTTTAATAATGGATCGCTGAGCAATGTGGATAAACCAGTGAATTCTAAGCCGAACAAGTCAAAGAAGTCAAACACGGTTGTAACATTCAAGGCCCCGCAAAGCCAAAACAACTCCACTCCTGCACCTAACCCTCAGAAAGAGAAGATGATAAATAATACACCTGGTATGACTCAGTAAATAGTTGAGCACCATTCAATGTTTTGTATTATTTCTTTTGTGCATTTATGTATATTTTCTTTATTTCTTTACTTTAGCTACCTGTACAGAGACAAATTTTAAAGTTGGACTGCTGAGCAATTTGGATGAACAAGTAAATTCTCAATCGAGTAAGCCAAACAATTCAAAGGCGGAAGCACCATCCAAGGCCATACCAAGCAAAAAGGAAAAAGATGATACTACTCCCTCACCCAACCCTCAGAAAGAGAAGAGGATAATTAATTCACCTGGTATGAAACAGTAAATAATTGAGCTCTTTTCCCTTTTTTATATTTCTTGCCTTTCTGTATTTTCTTCTTTCTTTACTTAGCTACCTGTTCAGAGACAAGTCCAAATGATGGACCGCTGAGCAATTTAGCTACACCTGAAAATTCTGAGTTGACCAAGTCAGACAAGGAACTCTCACCTAAGATGCAGCTAATTGAAAAGGAAATACACTCTATGGCAGGTAAAATAAGTCAATCAACTTTTATTGTGCTAGTATCTTTCTTTTATATTTTTGTGGCTAACAATGGTTTTGATTTTGTTTTAGCTTCTGAATTGAATGGTGTTGTCACATCTCCCTGTGATTCTTCCATACCTTTAGATTTATCTCAAACTTCCAGTGGCGAGCCATTACCATTCCATAATGAATCAATGGCGGTGTCCTTTCTTGCACATAATCAAACACCTAAAGCCGCTGAGATTCCTGCACCTTTGAGGGAAGTTAGTCTGACCAATGATGAAAACAAAGTGACAATCTTTCCTGGGACCAGCTCTACCAACCCTGTAAGTTGGTTATATCTGTTATCATTCCTATCTACCTACTTTGATGTTTTATATATTCGTGAGATTCTTTGGATTAAGTTATTCATTAGTACACTACGGGTTCTCAGGTCGGAGGGGTTTATTCAACAACAACGTTACATTCAGATTTTCATACATATTCATATCCTTCTGTCAATAAGTCATCATGTCACTCTTCTCAGATACACCACATCCTTCCCTCTTTTTAATAAAACAAAACTGTAATGATTAATAGATGATTAATAAAATAAGATAATATAAAATATAAATGGCAGGAATACAATAATACTTTGGCACAACAGAATATCACAATTACTTAAAGCGTTTACACTGGTTCTACAGTTGTTCTAATCTCAATTCTGTAATTCTGTTCTTGGTACCAATTAATACAATTATAAGTTCAGATCTAATCTAATACAAGTTCAATTAACGCAATTAAGTTCAAATATTCAATACAATTCTTTGGAAGATTTCTTGGTTCTAAGTCTTCTTTGGAATGTTAACTTGGAAATCTTGATACATCTTTGGCATCATTCTATTTCTTCCTCCACGACGGCATCCTTCCGGGGTTGAATTGGAATTGTTCCCATTCGTCTGAGGTTCAGCAGTCAAGGGTTCCTCAGTTGTTTGGCGTTGTCCGTCGTTTGGAGAAGTCTCGGATGTTGTAGCAGGCTTTTCTTCCGTCCTGGTATGGACATTTTCTTGTCGAGGTGTGTTCTTTTCAGGAACATTTGCTGGTGGGAGAACCGGTTTATTAATAGCTTTTCGCTCTTGATCTTGCTCTGGTTCTTTCTCAATGGTGCGTAGTTGCAATTGATTAATGTGCAACGAGCAGGGTGGTTCTCCGTCCACACTGACCATGTATACTGTAGGACCCAGTTTCTTCACAATTATTCCATTCTTTGGAGTCATTCCAGGAAAATACTTTACTTTTACTCGTTCTCCAGGTTGAAAACAAGCTCTATCTGGAATACTCTTGTAATTCTTCTGGGTCAATGGTGGTCTCAACTCTTGTAACATAGTTCTTGGTTTCTTCTGTAACACCATTTGAGCAGGAGTCAATCCGGTCACCGTTGATGGGGTATTCCGGTATCTATACAAAAATTTCTGTATCTTCAAATCGACAGACGTCACATCTGGATCTTCATTGTGCATCAAATATTTCTCGAAGACTCTTTTTGCAGTTCCCACGAAACGTTCAGCTAATCCATTGGATTGTGGATGGTATTTTGACACTCTCTTTGCTACAATCATGTTAATGGTACACCAATTAATAAATTCCACGCTGTTAAATGGAGGTCCATTATCACTTACTACCATTTCTGGAGGTCCAAAGTTTGCACATACTTCTGACAGTTTCAGGATCACATTGCTTGCATCCATTTTGGTCATTCTCCATACATGAGCCCATTTGGTGTGAGCATCTTCTAAAATAAGGTAATCTACTTGACGATGTTTGCAAAAATCTATGTGGACTCTTATCCAAAATTCTTCTGGATCTTGCCATGGAATGGTAATGTTGGATGCAGCTTTAAAATTCACTGCACTACATGCTTCACAATTCTTGGTAATCTTCTCTATTTCACTATCAAGTCCTGGCCACCATATTGTTTGTCTGCACAACATTTTTGCTCGTACTATGCCTGGGTGTCCAGCATGGACATACTTCATGACTCTGGGTCGCAACTTGTGAGGAATGATTACTCTATGTCCCCACATTACACAATCATCTTGTGTTGACAGTGCTTCTCTAATTTTGAAAAATGGCATAAGAGCACTCAGTGGACATTTCTCTGGCCATCCATTCTGAATCTTGAGTATCACTTGTTGTAGTGTTGGGTCTTCTTTTGTAATTGCAGCAACAACTTCAAAATTTAGTGGACCTTCCTCCAAGACATCACAAAAATGCACTTCTTCTACAATCGTGTTCTTCAACGGTAATCTTGACAGAGCATCAGCTGGACCCATTTCAGCAGTTCTTCTATATTCCACTTCATATTGATATGCTGATAGCAATAGTGCCCAAACTTGCACTCTTTTTGCTGCTATAACTGGTAAGGGCTTGTCTGGCCCCAAAATGTACTTCAAAGGTTGGTTGTCAATTACCAAAGTAAATTTTCTTCCATACAGATATTTGTGGAACTTCTTGATGGCAGAAATTACAGCTAGTGCTTCACGTTCCAACTGACTATATTTAGCTTGAGTTGGTGTTAGAGTCGCAGATGCAAACATTACTGGTAGTTCTTTCTTGCCAATTCTGTGAGCGAGTACTCCTGACACTCCAACAGGAGACGCATCCGTCTGCACAATTAACTTGTGATCAGGGTTAAAATGTGTCAATATCTTGTGTTTCTTCAGCAATAATTTGCTATTGTCAAAACTTTCCTTACATTCTTCTGTCCATTCCCATTCTTGATCATCACATAACAATCTATACAATGGAGCTAATTCTTCACAGACATTAGGCACAAAAGTTTTGTAAAAATTAAACATACCCAGATATGATGATAGTTGTGACACATTCTTTGGTTCTGGGCATTGTGAAATGGCTTCAATTGACTTCTCTACTGTCTTCCTTCCTTTTTGACTGATAGAAAATCCTAACAGTTGGATCTCTTGTTTGAACCAATCACATTTATCAAAATTAACTCTTACATTTCTCTCGTCATAAGCTTTGATGACAAGTCTTGTTCGTTGAATACATTCTTCTAGTGTCTTCCCTGTTACTACAGTATCATCCAGATATGCAAAAGCCCATTCAGCATATGGTTTCAAAATTATGTCCATTAATTCTTGACATTTAGCAGGTGCACTGGCTATGCCATATAAAATTCTTTCATACTGTAGAAATCCAATTGCAGTGTTTGCAACATTGTATTTTAGATCATCAGGGTGAACTTTCATTTGTAAATACATTTCAGAGTTGTCAAGCTTAGAGTAGTATTTACCTGTGCATTTCACAAAAAGTTCCTCTGGTTTGGGTATCTTGTATTGATCAATTTTCAGTTGTGGATTTATAGTTCTTTTGAAGTCCACTACTACTCTAACATCCCCATTACTCTTCTCAATAGGCCATACAGGTGAGGCCCATTCTGGATGATGGATTAATTTTGCTAACCCACACTTGACATCATTATTTAGTTGTTTCACCATCTTTTCTTTTAATGCAAATGGTACTTCATATTCTTTCATTCTGACAGGTACTGCGTCTGGCTTTATAATAATCCTTGCATGATAATGAGTGATAGCTTGAGATCTATCTTTACTAAATACTTTTGGAAATTCTTCTTTTAATTTGTTCACTTCTTGTCTTCTAATGTTTTCTTCTCTTGGATCTTGACTTGTTCCGACAGTGTTAACTATTTGGGTTAATGACTGTCTCCATCCAGGGACTAACTCATCTAGCCACTCTCTTCCTAACAATGGCAAAAATTTCTTCTTTGTTCTGAGCACCACTATTTTCATTTTTCTCACTTGATTAAATTTATCAGTAACATCAACAGTGCATTGACCTAACCTTTCTAGGTTAAATCCTCCCAGGGCTTGTAACTCAGCAGGTTCGTTATTCAACTTCACCTTTGGTTCAAGCTGATAGAAAGTTTCTTCAGAGATTAGCGTATATTTAGAACCTGAATCCATTTCAAATGTCACTCGTTGTTTTCCTACTGACAGAGTTATGTAAACAATATCACCTTCTGAACCTGGTTTAACTTCTATGTTCTTGACAGTGTCATTTGTATTTTCTCTTGGAAATATTTTCTTCACAGCTTCATTCTCAGTCTTCTCTTCTTCCTTCAAATCTTCAGTCTTCTGTTCTTCATCAAGATTTTCTTTGGTCTTCTGGTAGTCCTCTTCAGTGTATTCATTTCCATCATCATCGACAATCAATGTTTTGTCAGTAAAATTACACCATTTTCTCTTTAATTTTAAAGGCGAATCTTCAGTCTTCAAATCTTCTTGTGAGTCTTTTTCTCTTCTCTCTTCAATCTTGTTGCAACGTGAGACATTTTCTTGATAAGAAGGAAAATCTTCTTGGTACAAGTACTGTGGTAATTCTTCAGTAACATTTCTGACATTTGGACAAGCTCTGGCATAATGACCTGTTCCATTACATTTGTAACATACTTGATTTTGAGCTCCACAATCTTGAGTCAGATGATCTTCTTTGTTACACCTTTCACACTTCATTTTATTACCACTGTTATTGCCACTTCCACTATAGTTGTTTTGATGATTTCCTCTACCTTGATTTCCACCTCTTCCACGAAAGTTTCCTCTTCCTCGGAATTGTTGTCCTTGGCCCCTGTTGAACTGGAAATTATTGTTGAAGTTTGGATTGAAGTTCCCAGGGTTATTAAACTTGTTATAATTAAAATTCTTATTTTGATAGTTCTGACTCTGGGCTTCATAACCTCCTCTTCCTCTTCCTCTGCCTCTGAATCCTCCCCTCTGTTTGTTTGGATTCTGATTCTTATTCACTTTGTTTACAACATTGTCACTTTCGGTTTCTGCTGTAGATTTCTTCTGCTCCTTTTCTTCTTTTTCTTCTTTCTCTTCTAAGGCAGCTCTCATTTTCTTTACTTCATTCTTGGTTCTTTCTTGAGATTCAGTATAAATTGCTACTTTACATGCTTCATCATATGTTATCGTAGGATTGTCATGCAATTTATCGAGAACAGCATCATTCCGAGCTCCAGTGCGGAGTCTCTCTAGAAGACGATTCTTCAACGTATCACCATAATTACACTTAGATGCTATTCCTTGGATTTCTTGAATATAATCATTGACTGTTTCATTTTTCTTCTGTATTCTTGTCATGAAAATAGCTTTGGCAGCTTCAGTACTGTGAGTACTATTGAAATTATTTCTGAGAACTTTCAAAATGACCTTCATGGTTTTATCCATAGGTCTATCAGGTAACACAAGCCTCGCTAGTGTCTTATATGCTTCGGATCCCATTTCAGAAATTAAATAAGACTTTTGCTTCCTATCATTGGCTCGTAGTTGGTCATGAGCTCTCTTCTCTGCATTTGTGGCATCCCCACCTAGCTCTGCAGCCATCGAATCAGGTGCATCATCTGAGTCATTCTGAACTTCACCATATTCATTTAATTCTAGTGCCGCCTTCAATCTATCAATATATGATTCAATATCTTCTTTTGCCGGTACATACGTTCCAACGTGCTGCGGCATGGTGTTGGTTGTTGAGGTTGGGTCCGTATTTCAAGTTTCTTCTCAATCTTTGAAAAAAAAATATTTTCTTTTCACTCTCACATTCTTTAACACATGTTCTTCAATATTCCAATCTCGTCTTCGTCGCCACTTTTATATATTCGTGAGATTCTTTGGATTAAGTTATTCATTAGTACACTACGGGTTCTCAGGTCGGAGGGGTTTATTCAACAACAACGTTACATTCAGATTTTCATACATATTCATATCCTTCTGTCAATAAGTCATCATGTCACTCTTCTCAGATACACCACATGATGCAAAGATGATTATGTCTTTTTGGTGATCACCTCTATTTCAAAACTCCATCAGTAGTCCTTCATGTCCGTTTCATTCATGTCTATTTTTTTTTCTAGACTCACGATAAGGAGAATATTGGAACTAAACCAAAACGTAAATCTGGTTTTGATTACTACTTTGGGAACTGGGGACCAGGGTCTAAACCTTTAGTTCAATCTGCTACATTAAATCAGAATGTGGTGAGTTACTCTAAAACATTGCTGTAGTTTATACTATATCTTTATTATTATTTTATTTAGATATAGATTTATTACATTTTTTTCATTCTTTTATGATTATTTTGCCAGGTATCTGAAGATTCTACTCAACATAATAAATCCCAGGATGTCAGCAGAAATAAAAGATTTAGTACTTCACCATCCTTTCAGACATCTGTATCCAAAAAAACTAATGGTATGTCTTCTAGTCCTCATTGAGTTCAAAGAATTCTCCATGGTATATTTATAAATTATTTTCATTTCTTACCTTATTATAGATTCTCCTCAAATACTTAAGAATGTAACATTGAATAAAACATTCTCTCCTGAAGTCTTTTCCACGCCTATGGTAAGCCCAGCAGCTTCACAGTCTCACAACTCTAAGCCAACCAGCAAGGCGAAACTTTTCATTGAAGGTAAACTTACCATATCATAGTGGAAACTTGTGTCTTTTGTAATGTGTCTAATATAAGTTCCGAAATCCAGGTACTGTTGCAGAAGACCCTTTTGTAGACCCTGATGAACCTGCAAATCTTGCTGAGCCCTTGCAATCTGATGGTGAAGACAATGGAAACAGATCATCAAATATTGGAAAACAAATAAATTTGAGAAGGAGACTTACCAAGCCGCAGAAGACTCAACCTTCGGTAAGAAAGTTGCCTTGCATGCAGATAATTTGATCTATGTATGTGTTACCTTTTCTTTTAATTGCAAATGAATTATTTCTCTTTTCTCTGGAAGGAAACTGATAGCTCTGAGAGTGATAGTGATTTCTCACCATCTGAAGAAGAATATTTGCCAGAAAAAACTATTCGTGATAAAAATCTTGGTCAAAGGTGCAAAAGCAAAAGCCAGAGGTTAAACCGTGCCAAAACTGCAGTAGCTAAAAAGAAAAATGTGCAGGTTGTCCAGGTTGGTCTAGAATTATCCATCAAATTATTGTAATTTGTGTATTGTAACAAGTTTTGTCAGACTTACCATGTTGTAACTGGAAATTTCTTCTTCACCTTCAGGCTTCAACTAGTGGTCAACCCAGTGATTCTTCCTCTAATAATTCTTCTGGTGATGAGTCAGAGACAGAATCAGAATCAGAGTCAGAGGCAGAGCAGCCCAAAACAGCTACAAGAAAAAGGAAGCCAAAGAAACAATCTGATATTCCAGAACCTGATTATGTGTGGTGTGATGATGATATCACAGAAACTGTATTGGGAGTAATTCCCCATTCAGCCTCATCCCTAAAAGAACCCATCGAATATTTCAATATGTTTTTTTCTGACAACATTCTTCAAACAATGGTTGAGGAAACCAATATGTACAGCCAGCAAAGAGGTGGTGATGATTTACATCTTACTATTGAAGAATTAAGGAGGTTCCTAGGGCTCTGGATTTTTATGGGCATATGTACTTTACCCTGTTATGAGGACTACTGGTCAGGTATCACCCGTGTCCGATTTGTGGCTGAAGCTATGCCAATTTCAAGATTCAAATTGATTCGGGCAAGGCTACATCTAATTGACAACTCAACGATACCAAAAGATAATAAGGACCCTCTAATCAGAGTGCGCCCGTTACTTCAACATATCAAGCAGAAGTGCAATAATCTCCCTCAACATACCGCTACTTTTAGCATAGATGAATCCATGAGTCCTTATAAAGGAACCAAGGCCGGCCCACTGCGTCAATACATTAAGGGTAAACCCCACAAATGGGGCTTTAAGGCCTTCATGCTCACTAGCAGTTCTGGATTAGTTTATGATTTTATTGTGTACTCTGGTGGCCAAACATTTGAGTTAGAGGGAGTTGTTGAACAAGAAGGACTTGGTGTTGGTGGCAACGTGGTGTTTCATCTGTGTCAAACGATTTAAAAACCTCGCATTAGCAGTGTTTGCTTTGACAATTATTTTACCAGCATACCTTTAGTGTGCCAGTTGAAGGAGAAGCTGGGCCTTCTATCTATTGGTACAATCAGATCGAATCGCACTAAAGGATGTCCTCTCCCATCAGACAAACTAGTTATGAAGCAAGGTAGAGGAACTTCTCTTGTCCAAAGTACCTGCAATGGTCAAGTAGCCGTTCTGAAATGGGTGGATAATAAAGTAGTTAATATGGCTGGTTCCTGGGCGGGGCGAAGTCCTCAGCATATTGTTAAAAGGTGGGACAAAAAGGCTAAGAAGAAGATCGATGTTGCCTGTCCCCAAATAGTGCGACTTTACAACAAGAACATGGGAGGTGTCGACCTCTTTGATATGCTGATGCATTTATACAAGCTTCCCAGCCGAGCTAAGCGCTGGCCAGTTCCATTGATTTCTTTTATGATTGACCTCTCGTTGGTGAATGCCTTCCTGCTCTACCGTGCTGACCAGAAAGTAGATAATGATGTTGTGGAATCATCTAAAGCCTTTAGACTGCGAGTTGTGGAGGCTTTGGTCTCTAGTAAACCGAAGAAAAAGGTAGGGCGGCCTACTCTGGAAGAGTCCTCGAGGACAGAGGAAGTTCCCCGAAACCACACCAAGAAGTTGCCCCCTGATGTCTTGAGGTTGGATCAGCACAACCACTTCGTTGTTTTCCAGGAGAAGAAGGGGCGGTGCAGCCATTGCAGCATCTTGGGTGTGAACAGCACCACGTTTGCCAAGTGCTCTAAGTGTGAAGTTATGTTGTGTGTTTTACGAAACCGTAATTGTTTTTTTGACTTTCATAGTCTTGAGGTATGAAATTCCCGCAGTTATCAGTCTTGCCTAGTTGTATTTATCTATCTAGAATTGTATTCTAATCTTTGTTTTCTAGTCTTGATTGTTCTAATTGTATTGAAAACATATATTTATCTACTAAATATTCCTTGATGTATGAAATTCGAGAGGGCCTCATTGTTACTAAGTTTATTGTTCCTAATTCTAATTTCAATAAGTTTGTTGAAATATCTATAAGAATAAAGTTATGTGCATAAGTCACAATTGTTGCAGAATGTAATGTGTTGTGTGCAGACATGGTTATTGGCAAAAGGGGCGAGTTATTGCAACAAGTTGCAGATGTTATGACAACAAGTGCAAGATGTTATAACAATAATGTTCTTATTACTATATCTTCAGATGTTATCATAGAAAGTCAATTATACTTACAGAATGATTGAAAAGCTCCAGTGTGCACACAATGAGCGCCAGTGTCCTCATTTTATTAAAATAGCAAGTTATTAGAATAAGTTTCTAGTTACACCAGTAAGTGTGAGTTATGGCAATAGCTACAAATAAGACTACCAGAGCTCGAGCGCCGTTCGGGTAAGCAACGAAGAGGTTTCCCGAGCCCGTTGGGTTGCCTACCTCAGCGCTGGCAGGCGCTCCTGTCATCGCACAAGTTCGCCTAACGGCGTTTCCTTAGTATTAAAGCTACCTACTGGGACACGCACTTGTGACAGTGTAGTCGCAGGAGGGAGAGAGAGAGAGGGGAGGGGCCTCACCAGCCAGACACTGCGACAAGCTATTTGTGACATTAAAATCTGGACTCCATTCGGGGAGGAACCGCATGTAACAAGTTTGTCACGATTCTGTCTGGACACACTGGGAGAAACCGCTTGTGACCGTGTCGTCACAATAGGTGTCTGAAGAAAAACAGCGGTAAAAGTCTACTCGAAGGACTCCACCTCCTAGGACTTCATGTCGTATGTCGTTGAAATCACCGAGGAACGCTGATCCTGACCCTACTAATCCGATTTGGCGCTCTGGAATAGTTTCCGAGTAATTCAATTTGGAAGATGGGATTCCAACCAACAAGACGCCTCAAAGAGGCTTTAATAACTTATGTTTACGGCCAGCCGGGATACGGATCTTTCCGGATGGGGTTTTTAAACGGTTTCTCCTGCACCATAGAAACACCCTGCTATGAAATCATCGTTTAAAACGATTCGGATCACTACATCAGAGTTTTGTCATTGCCTTCTGCTTGGTCGATTTCTTCGAATAATGCGTGAGAAGTCGCAACCGCAACCAAACTATACCTATCACGTTCATCGCGGGTCTGTGTTTGTAGTTCCTCCCCGAATGGAGTCCAGATTTTTATGTCACAAATAGCTTGTCGCGGTGTCTGGCTGGTAAGGCCCCTCCCCCCTCTCCCCCTCTCTCTTTTCCCCCTGCGACTACACTGCCAGAAGTGCGTGTCCCAGTAGGTAGCTTTAATACTAAGCGAATGCCGTTAGGCAAACTTGCGCGATGACAGGAGCGCCTGCCAGCGCTGAGGTAGGCAACCCAACGGGCTCGTGAAACCTCTTCGCTGCTTACCCGAACGGCGCTGGAGCTCTGGTAGTCTAATTCGTAGTTATTGCCATAACTCACACATATTGGTGTATTTAGAAACTTATTGTAATAACTTGCTATTTTAATAAAATGGAGACACTGGCGCTCATTGTGTGCACACTGGAGCTTTTCAATCATTCTGTAAGTATAATTGACTTTCTATGATGACATCTGAAGATATGGTAATAAGATCATTATTGTTATAACATCTTGCACTTGTTGTCATAACATCTGCTACTTGTTGCAATAACTCGCCCCTTTTGCCAATAACCATGTCTGCACACAACACATTACTTTCTGCAACAATTGTGACTTATGCACATAACTTTATTCTTATAGATATTTCAACAAACTTATTGAAATTAGAATTAGGAACAATAAACTTAGTAACAATGCTCCCTTCCTTGAAATTCCTGCTGTCTTAGTAATTTACCTATTTTGAATTGTTTTCTTATCTTAGTCATTTGGTTATTGTTCTACAAGGTATAGTTACAATAT